ATTAACTATTGAATAAAGAATAAAATATATACATACTCTCTAGCTTGTAAAATCATTGCATCTTTCTTCTTTTGCAGTAATTCTTGCCTTTTTTCGGGAGTAGCTTCCCATGTTTTAGGTGGATCTGGTGGAACAATGCCTTTTTTAACTGCATCTTGTAGTTTGTATCTATCCACGAGAGATTGATGTGTTACAGACACATTTATCCCACTCGTTGTCGATGAGGAGGCGTGAGACGTCGAAGGAACTGCAAATGATGAAGCAACAGTAGGTGGTGGCTTTCGTGTTATATGAATGATTGAAAATGTAAGTATAGATTTAATTTCAATACACAAAATGATTAGCTCTTTTTTTTTAGAATTAAAGTTACCAATGGGAGACCACCGTGTTGAAGAATATTGTCACAGGTAACTTCAACAGAGCCTGTCTTTTGAAGATCGTACTGTACTGCGACTGGAGGAATGTTTGGAAACATCGCACATACTGTTGCGACCTGTAAAACAAGACAAGACTTAAAGGGCTAGAATAACAAAAAATAGTAGTTTGATCACGAAAAATTAGCAAACCATTTCAGGAGTTACAGGTCTTGGCCTAGTCCTGGGTGGGTCATTCGTCATAATATTTCCTCTGCGATTCCTTGTATGCTGTGGTGTGGATCCTAAAAAATCGCTTTTTAGTCGTTTAAAATATTTATTGTTAAAATTAAAGAGTTGAAAAGAGCATTTGTACCTAAAAGCCATCGGAATACGCATACAATCACAAAGATGGCAACCAAGATGCTAATCCCGTCGTTCATAGTCATGTAACGTAATTTGGTTTAGATTAGTTGAACGTGGTTTAATTATCGATTTGCCGCTGAGTTTTGAAAGTTTAGCATAATTTTTGAGTATAGTCTATGTGGAAATATGCACCTAAAGATTGTTGAAAGCCTTCAGAGATGTCACGTGATTAATTGTTCTACAAATATCAAATATCTTGGATTATTACTTTTTGAATCAAGTATTCTGTGAAAAAGTTGAGAGATCAAACGATGGATCCGTACAGACCAGTTCATTATGGTAATACTGCTCTATTTTAATTTTATTTCAAATAAGGCTAATTACTATCCTTACTATATGTTACCGATCTTTCAATTGCATCTTTTATTTTTCCTCTTTCCTGATTGTGCGATTTACTTTCTTTTGATTTAAAATTAGCACCGTATCGACCATACGCGCCACAAAGTGGACCGACTTACGTACCCGCTTCTAGGCCAGGCTACTTACCTAACGTTCAGCCGGCTCGGCCAAATTATCTAGGCCAGAGACCCGGGTATGGACCTTTGCCCATCGGCGGTGCTCAGGGTATAGTCGCGTCTGGCTCAGAAGTTGAAAAGCTAACTACACTTTTCATTGGGGGGATATCACCGGGAGTGACAGACGACTGGATGGAAAGGATTCTTAAGGTAAAAATTGGCATTTTATTTTTTTAGTGGACGAAAGATGCTACATGTTACTTTTTGTCAACAAGTTGACATAATTTTACCAAATCGATAAGACCCAAGGAAAAGTAATTACTATTGAGGCACGATTTGGCAAAGGCAATTTCTTAAGAAAATGGGCTATTAGAGGATCATTGACTTGAATAGGAGGTTTGGAACAGAAAACGATTTTTTTTTTTTTTATAGCCCAAAAAGAAATTTTGAGTTTCTTTTACGGCAGGATGCTAAATTATCTCTGTGCAGATAGCTTACGCAAATTGCCTTACAAAAATCAAAGAATAACTTTTAAGCGTGATTATTCTTTTATTTATTAACTGATGTTTTGTTTTAAATCTTATTTTTCCACGCTTTACACCTGAAACATTTAAGACATGCGGCTCATTAAAATCTTGGAAACGTGTTAAAGATCAATCTGGAAACCCTAAAGGGTTTGGTTTCGCTGAATATTTAGATGCAGATAGTGTTCTTCGCGCGTTGCGAGTGTTGGGTGGTGAAGGGCCTGGTGATGACAAAAAAGACAAGGGCGTTGTGCTACCCGCCTTAGAAGAGGGGGCTATGGGAAAAAAACTAATAGTGTGTTGGTTCTTTCATTGTTTCAACTAAAAAAATTTCTCTTTATATGATATATCAGTAATATTAATTTTTTTTTTTTTTTTAATCAATTTCAGGTTAAAGCAGACGAAACTACCAGAAAATATCTTGATCAATATGAAGCATCAAGACCAAGAACTGTGGTATTCATTTTAGTTTCAATACCCTTTTTCTTCTAAAAGAAAAAAAAAAAAACTCAAAAATATTTTAAAATCTCTTTAGCATGATACTGAACTCGATAAAAATGCCCTCTTGTCTGTCATAACTGTTGTACAAAATATGACCAAGCCTCAAGAATCTAGAGACCATTTAATGCCTCATGATAATAGGTCTGGAATCCGAAAATCTCCAAATGAACATATCGATCATATGGAAAAAGACGAAGATACTGATCTACCTGCTGATCTCCCCCCTGAACAAAAAGATCTAATATACCGAGAAATCGCGTTTTTCCGAGAGCGTGCGGCAGCAAGAGAAAGAGAACGACAAAAGGAAGAAGAAGAACGTGCAAATCGAAGGGCTAGAATGGAAGCTAAGGAACGATCTCATAGAAGAGAAAGCAGAGAACGGCAACAATACGGACATTATCATCAACCTGTCAATTTTGTTCCTGCTAGAGAATCTAGACGAGAGTCTTATGCCTTGGATGATGAAGATGAAGAGCAAAAACGTCAGGCAAAAAGGAAGACAGAGATGGAAATGGCTTTTAAAGAGGTATTTTATTGTTTATATTTTTAACCTAATTATTTTATTTAATATTTATTCAATTTAATTTTCACAAAGAGGGAACGACGTTGGCAACATAGGGAAGAAACCATGGCAACAAATCGTGAACGTGAATTAGAACGAGAAATAGACGCAAGAGAAAAGCAAATACGTGATCGTGAATTAATGGCAAGAAAATTGGCGGAGTGGGATGATGATGTTGAGGCCGAAAGAGGACAAGAAGATTACTATCGAGATCGGTGAGTTCACTATGTGCAATAATGCATACATCTATTCGCATTAATAAAGTATTTATCATGCCCTTTATGTAGAAACCGATGGTGGTTCCATAGACAGCAATTTCGAGCACGCGAAATGGCAATGGATGAACAAGATAAACTTCGAGAGCAACAAGAGATTGAGACAGAATTACGCCAGCAGGAATTGGAAAAGACGCTTGAAGAAGAGAAAAAACAACGTTCTGAAACCACAGAGACTGAATTGAATGAGGAGAAAGAGTTAGCACCTTTTACGACTAATGGATCTTCGCAAAATAGTACAAATATCAAAGCAAAACTTACATTAAATATTGCTTCAAAACGGCGTGCAGCATTAATGACATCGAATGAAGAAGAGGAAGAAGACGAAGAAGAACTTGACTCTAAAAGAAAGCGTAGAGTATTGGTTCCTTTAGAGTATAGTGATGATGAAGATGATGAAAAGAGAACTGAAGACAGGAAAAGAAGAATTAAAGATTTAGTGGAAACTATTCCAACAGACAAAGAAGGTTTATGGAAATGGAATGTAAAGTGGGAAGAATTAGATGAAGTAAGTGCAATCTACCATTTTCTTACAGAATATTGACTCTTCACATCATTGTTATAAATACAAACTAATTTATGAAATAATATCGTTATTTCAATAGAATATTCTTAATAATAAATTACGATCTTTCGTCAGTAAGAAGATAGTGGGATATCTTGGAGTTCAAGAAGATGAACTAGTTTCTTTCGTAATGGATCATTTGCGCAATAATAAATCCGCAGCACAATTAACTAAAGAAATGGAAATGGTATATTATCACACTTCTTAAATCATTTATCAATATAATTACTAACATTTACGTTCAATAATTAGACATTAGACGAAGAATCCGAACTTTTTGTAATGAAGTTATGGCGTATGCTTATTTATGAAACCGAAAGCAAAGCCAGAAAATTATGATTACATTACATTAGAACTTGTAAATGTGCATAAATCTCATCGCAAATAATATCTAAAAATTTATTTTGAATATTTGTATGTATAAAATGTGCTAATGATACGTATAATTGACCGAGTTGAAATTGTATCAAATACTATTGCTATTATATACAATAGAAGTTTACAATTTAAAGTATCATATGATCCTGTGAAGTTGCAAATCGTGTTACGTTTTCAGTTTTCAGTTTTTAGCCATGTCACCTCCCTGCAAATTATGCATAAGTACACACATACTTTATGGAAATCAAAGACGGCTGTCCGCGACATATTATATACATACTTAAAAAGCAATAAAAAATTCCTTCTTTTTTTTTTTTTTTTTTCTTTTTTTTTTTTACACAGGAAAGAATCACCTTTCTCTACTTATTAATTATACTGAACAATGAGCGGCTGGGAAAGCTTATTTAATACCGCTGCTGTCGACTATAGTAGTGGAAACTTTAGAGTAAGAATTACTTTAGTTTTTTCTTATTATTATACTAAGATCTCATTTGTAACCAATCTTCTGTACAATCAGGATTCATATAGTAATTATTTAAAAGCAGCTAATGCACTGCTCTTCAAGTTTGGTAACCACGAGGTCGCTTTTGCCAATAGAGGTATTTATCAAGATGGCAGGATCTAGTTTCCATTTAAAAATCGGCGAACATTAACGCGAATTTGTACTTTATTTAGAGACAGTAAAATCTAAACCAGTTAATAGCACCCGATTATTTCAACAACTCAAATTTTGTGTACAAAGGCTTGAAGACATCCTTGAAAATAGAGCAATAAATGGAGTACCTCCAATCTCACAACCTTCAACTATTTCCGATAATACTGCTTTAAATCTTACAAACTCGCACCCGATGCACCTACCCCTTGTTCCTTTCTCTCCACTTACTAGGCAATCTATTCACCATGCTCATTCTCTTGCTGTCACAAGCCAGCGATTATCTGTTGCCAACCAAAAAAGTCCAGATATTGGTAAAGATTCAGAGGGTATTATTCGGAAATTAAAGGATGAAGTCCGCCAACAGCAAACTAAACTTGATCAAGTCAATAACCAGATCCAATCAATTGCTGAAGTTACCCTGCTTCATTGGGATGCTGAAGCAGCTTCGCTGCAGTTAACCATAATTGACAGTTCATTATTTAATAAAGTAGATTTCAAAAAAGATTTTTCAGCAAAAGACAAAAAGAATTCCAAAGTGCAAGCTTGTATGGACTTCCACCGATACTTGACTAATAATTTTGCACACCAATTTATTTATGCAGATATGACTCGGACGTCCGTCAACTCTTCACGTGGAACTCAACATCCACGAGAAAGTATTATTCCTCATGCTGTCAGAATTGCCTATTATTTATTAAATGTTCATCGTAATTTTAATAGCTTTGCTGCTTTGATGAAAGCGCTTACTTCTCCTGAAGTACGCAGGATAAGGCGTTTATGGACTAATCTTCCTGCGCCTACCACTAAAGCATTAAAAGAGCTATCATCATATGTGAAGAAAGATAATGATTACAAAGCTTATAGAGACATGCTTGCACAAAAGCTGGATTCTTTTCGTGGAGTTGGTCGGGGAACGATTGTCATTCCTTGGATGCAACCTCATTATGAAGAAATAAAAAGTATAAATCAATCTTATACAAGTGGAAAATCAGGGGATTCATCCGAAAACATCCTCTCGTCACCTGGTGCATTGAAATTAGCATCAATATTTGCTCTTCTTGAGCAATGTAAAACTAACACAATGGCACATGATGATGAAGAGTGGAATGAAGTTCGAAAACATGTAATATCATCACAACGTCATAGAGATACAATAACAGTTGATGGTATAACAATTACAATACCTCCGACCCTTTCATGTTTAGGTTGTGGTGATTTAGGGTTGCATCATTGGCTTGTATCTAGAGTCTATTTAACTAAACAACAATTAGTCGATGAGAGCATTGAGATTGAACCTTTAGGTGAGAATGAACAACTTCCATGTGTAGAAAATGAAGAGGAGGAAGAGGAAGAAGACGATGATCACGCCAGTGTGGGTCAATATGATATTGGAAGTGATGATGGTGGTGACAACATGGAAATTGGTACCTCATCTAAGCACGCCTTCGCAAGTAATTCAGCACCACCTCTTACCAAAGTTTCTCAGAATAATTCTGGAGAACAAAGCAATGAAACATTAGAACCCTTGGATACGCCATCTTCAATTAAGGATTTTGTTTATACATCTAGCAATGAACAGACCATTGATAACAGTGTGTCTACGTCTGTTACAAATGAAATTTCAAAAACCGTTGAAAATGGCAAACCTGTTGGGAAATCTTTAGAAGAAACGTCATACAATTTAGAAACAGTAAAGAATGATTCTGCTTCTGGTTTTTCAAATGGTAAAAGTGAGGGACCATCTACTTTCAGTTCTAAAACTAGCCCAATTTCTATTCCTCAAT